AAGGCATTTTATAGGAAGATTAATAAAAGGTCAATTAAATAAAAGTTCAAATAGACATAAGGTGATAATTGTAAATCAAGGAGAGAGAAAATTAATGTAATATGGAAAGAATAAGAAAGGGTAGGAAAATTGTCACATCACCTTCGGCTTAAAGACTTCCAAGGTAAATTCAAGGTTATAACAAATTGTGTCTGTACATATTAGGGGGATTTTAATTTTCGAATAGCCATGACCTCCATAAACCTCAAAATTCGTCCTCCAACATTTCTATACAATGTTTTGATGGTTGTCTTGACGTCACATTTTTCAGATCAATTACGTCTTCTCACTGTTCTATCAAAATTAGAAAATAATCAGAAAATCAAAATGACTTATTAGTTTTTACTGGAGTTAAATATTGTATAAAATATGAGAGTCCAGAACTCACATTTTGTCCTATTTGGTATTCGTCAGCTGGATTCCGTTGCTATTCGATCACATTGAACAGAAAGTTGTAATCAAATGGTAATATCAATGCTATCCCGTCAGAATGTATATATTGGTCAAAATGATACTGATCATTTACCCTCCTTAATATCAACAATGAAAAGATACAAATCTTTAAAAATCATAGTAAAATAAGCTTAAAATATTATTGATAAGTACATTACTTAAGACTGAAGTTAATCTTTCATACACCTTCACACCTTCAATGACTATGTAAAATCTTTTCCGATAGATTCATACACTGTTTCTACTTTTCTGAATAGTTACTACACGGTAATGTGTTCTGCATGCCTTTAATTCTGTGAACTGTAGTCCTTGAAAAGTTAGATCACATACTGATTGATGGTATATATTCATAGGTTCCTTGGCTGAATGATGAAACTAACAAGTGACTAACCCTGAGGTTAAACATAGGAAACTAAGTAGTATAAAGTGCAAATCAATCGATAAACCTCTGTATTCAAGCTAAAACCCGTACACATTCGTAGACGAATTCGCAATCCAATGTTCAAGGCCTAATTAAATATTATCACATCAACAAGACATTATCATTCATATATTTATAATGAATATTGAGTATTGATTTACTGATATAGACTCTCAAATAGCATGTTTGAATCCTCTTTCACCTACGGACATTTAAGCAATACGTTAATAATATTAATACCATTAGATTGCTATTTCATGGTAGTATTAGCTACTTCAGCAGTCATTGCAATCAGCACCTTATCCCTAATTGAACCGATTTCATTCGATTTCTCTCTCAAGTATGATACTAAAGCACATTTACAATTTGATCGTTTAATATAACTATTTAATAAATGTATTACCTGACAATAATGCCTGAAAAAATAGGTAATGACTTAACCACACTATTTTTTTTTTTGAAATTTAATTATGACCTATCAGCTAGTGACATTTTCTTAGGGAATTTTGTTCTTAACTAAGGCTATTTAGCATAACGGAGAAATATCACTTACTAAAGCTTCTGACTCAATGAAAACTAAAAGTTTAAATTATTGCCTGTTTTGTATATTGTTTAACTGAAGACAACAAAGAATGTCGGCATCGAAATTTTAAATTTTATGCTTTGATAATATCAGCAACTGAATCTCATTCAAGTAAATCTAATTAGGGAAGTTGGTTTAAAAATTTTATCTATTTTAAAACTTCATATTAGAAACTATTGGACTTAACAAAACTAGAAAATTTGAAGACAAAATACCTATTTTCATAACAGTTTTTGTTTGTACAAACTTCACATTTCTTAGAAACATATTAATAATGTTGAATTGAATGTTGAATTTCTAAAATACTTTTTCTACAGGTTAACATAAGTCTATATTCATAAGTTTATTCCCAGAACCACGAAGTGACTGTACCTACACAATATAAGTAAGGAAATTTCGTTTCGACTCAAATAATTTTGAATTTGTTGGTTTCTTTCTGATCTCATGATCCGAATAGTGGCAGAATATACAGGTTCTGCGTTATTTATGTCTACCTGGTCTTGATGTTGTTGGATTCAAGAAAAAATATCATTATAGGTTCAAAATAAACAAAAATATGATCAACACTGTCACTGTAAGTTCTAGACATTCTTCAAACGACTTTATAAACGCTGAACATGATAAAACTAATGAACCTCGACCAACATCCGCTATTTTTTTTATTTTCTTCCTGTTAGGTGAATGAAAATAACAAGGCGTTACATTCTACAAAAAATAAACAATATTGTGATGCTCATTCGTGTCGAACAATAAAATCTAACCAACAAGACAAAAATCACCAAAAATCTCGTTCCATCACAAACTACTTATCAAATCATGGCGAAGATGATGATGATGATGAAGATGAAACATCGATAGATTCAGATGGTGATGGTATACCAGATTATTTGGAAGATGAAGATGGCGACGGTATTCCGGATTACCTAGAAGATGACGATAACGATGGCATCCCAGACCATTTAGAAAATGATTCAGATGGAGATGGTATACCAGATTATATGGAAGATGACGACAACGATGGAATACCAAATTATTTAGAAGATGAAGATGATGACGGCATACCAGATTTCTTGGAAAAATGTAACAACAACAAAAAACAAGGTAAGTATAAATTGCACAGAAATCCTCATGAAAGGCATAATAATATAGATAACGATTCAAAGGAATATAAATACAGAGATAATGAAGATAACGATGGGAATACTGATGAACAAGACAGTGACTCCGATGGGGATGGTATTCCCGATCATTTGGAGGATGAGGATGGAGACGGGATCCCAGATTATCTAGAGGACGATGATGGTGATGGCATTCCAAATTATCTGGAAAAGAGTCACCACAAACGATCAACTAAATTGCCGAAACATATCGACAAGGATGGTGACGGGATCCCAGATTATCTAGAAGGTGACTCTGATGGAGACGGCATTCCAGATCATCTGGAGGACGAGGATGGTGACGGGATCCCAGATTATCTAGAGGACGATGATGGTGATGGCATTCCAAATTATCTGGAAAAGAGTCACCACAAACGATCAACTAAATTGCCGAAACATATCGACAAGGATGGTGATGGCATTCCAGACCATCTAGAAGGTGACTCTGATGGAGACGGCATTCCAGATCATCTGGAGGACGAGGATGGTGACGGGATCCCAGATTATCTAGAGGACGATGATGGTGACGGCATTCCAAATTATCTGGAAAAGAGTCACCACAAACGATCAACTAAATTGCCGAAACATATTGACAAGGATGGTGATGGGATTCCAGATCATCTAGAAGGTGACTCTGATGGAGACGGCATTCCAGATCATCTGGAGGACGAGGATGGTGACGGGATCCCAGATTATCTAGAGGACGATGATGGTGATGGCATTCCAAATTATCTGGAAAAGAGTCACCACAAACGATCAACTAAATTGCCGAAACATATCGACAAGGATGGTGATGGCATTCCAGACCATCTAGAAGGTGACTCTGATGGAGACGGCATTCCAGATCATCTGGAGGATGAGGATGGTGACGGGATCCCAGATTATCTAGAGGACGATGATGGTGATGGCATTCCAAATTATCTGGAAAAGAGTCACCACAAACGATCAACAAAATTGCCGAAACATATCGACAAGGATGGTGATGGCATTCCAGACCATCTAGAAGGTGACTCTGATGGAGACGGCATTCCAGATCATCTGGAGGACAGAGGATGGTGACGGGATCCCAGATTATCTAGAGGACGATGATGGTGATGGCATTCCAAATTATCTGGAAAAGAGTCACCACAAACGATCAACTAAATTGCCGAAACATATCGACAAGGATGGTGATGGCATTCCAGACCATCTAGAAGGTGACTCTGATGGAGACGGCATTCCAGATCATCTGGAGGACGAGGATGGTGACGGGATCCCAGATTATCTAGAGGACGATGATGGTGATGGCATTCCAAATTATCTGGAAAAGAGTCACCACAAACGATCAACTAAATTGCCGAAACATATCGACAAGGATGGTGATGGCATTCCAGACCATCTAGAAGGTGACTCTGATGGAGACGGCATTCCAGATCATCTGGAGGACGAGGATGGTGACGGGATCCCAGATTATCTAGAGGACGATGATGGTGATGGCATTCCAAATTATCTGGAAAAGAGTCACCACAAACGATCAACTAAATTGCCGAAACATATCGACAAGGATGGTGATGGCATTCCAGACCATCTAGAAGGTGACTCTGATGGAGACGGCATTCCAGATCATCTGGAGGACGAGGATGGTGACGGGATCCCAGATTATCTAGAGGACGATGATGGTGATGGCATTCCAAATTATCTGGAAAAGAGTCACCACAAACGATCTACTAAATTGCCGAAACATATCGACAAGGATGGTGATGGCATTCCAGACCATCTAGAAGGTGACTCTGATGGAGACGGCATTCCAGATCATCTGGAGGACGAGGATGGTGACGGGATCCCAGATTATCTAGAGGACGATGATGGTGATGGCATTCCAAATTATCTGGAAAAGAGTCACCACAAACGATCAACTAAATTGCCGAAACATATCGACAAGGATGGTGATGGCATTCCAGACCATCTAGAAGGTGACTCTGATGGAGACGGCATTCCAGATCATCTGGAGGACGAGGATGGTGACGGGATCCCAGATTATCTAGAGGACGATGATGGTGATGGCATTCCAAATTATCTGGAAAAGAGTCACCACAAACGATCTACTAAATTGCCGAAACATATCGACAAGGATGGTGATGGCATTCCAGACCATCTAGAAGGTGACTCTGATGGAGACGGCATTCCAGATCATCTGGAGGACGAGGATGGTGACGGGATCCCAGATTATCTAGAGGACGATGATGGTGATGGCATTCCAAATTATCTGGAAAAGAGTCACCACAAACGATCTACTAAATTGCCGAAACATATCGACAAGGATGGTGATGGCATTCCAGACCATCTAGAAGGTGACTCTGATGGAGACGGCATTCCAGATCATCTGGAGGATGAGGATGGTGACGGGATCCCAGATTATCTAGAGGACGATGATGGTGATGGCATTCCAAATTATCTGGAAAAGAGTCACCACAAACGATCAACTAAATTGCCGAAACATATCGACAAGGATGGTGATGGGATTCCAGACCATCTAGAAGGTGACTCTGATGGAGACGGCATTCCAGATCATCTGGAGGACGAGGATGGTGACGGGATCCCAGATTATCTAGAGGACGATGATGGTGATGGCATTCCAAATTATCTGGAAATCGATTCTTTAGCACTCTCGCACTATAAACTTTCGCAGAATTCGAATTTGAAATTTTATTCGGCTGATCTTGATGGCGATAGTATTCCAGATCATTTAGAGGGTGACAGTGACGGTGATGGAATTCCGGATTATTTAGAAGATACAGATGATGACGGGATTCCTGATTATTTGGAAGATGAAGATGGAGATGGTACACCAAACTACTTAGATAATGATTACACTGGACAATTTTCTCCGAAATCTTTTAAATTATCAGTTTCAAATAAAAAGCATTATGATCTCAATAAAAATGGTATACCAGATGACTTAGAGAGTGATCAGGATGGAGATGGTATTCTTGATTTTATGGAAGACTCCGATGAGGATGGGATTCCAGATTATCTAGAAGATTCAGATAATGACGGATTTCCAGACTATTTAGATGATACATTCAGTCCTAAACATGATATCCATTTAAAATTAGAAGATAAAAATAGAAATGGCATACCAGATCACTTGGAAAGTGATTCTGACTACGACGGTGTTCCTGATTATTTAGAAGATTCTGATAGAGATGGTATACCAGATTATTTAGAAGATACTGATTTAGATGGTACACCAGATTACATGGATGAAGATGCTATTACACAATTTTCACCGAGAAAAATTCGTGGTCGTGGTATCGGTCGAAAATTTGCTGATGCTGATAGAGATGGTATACCAGATCATTTAGAAGGTGATATCAATCATAATGATATTGTTGACTATTTAGAAGATTTGGATAATAATAGTATACCAGATTATCTTGAAGATTCTGACAAAGATGGTATACCAGACTATTTAGATGAAGATGCTACTACAAAATTTTCACCCAAAGTATTAAGAGCATTAAAACCAGCCAAACATTATGCTGATATAGACGGTGATCATATACCAGATCATTTAGAAGAAGATAATGACGGTGATGGGATTCCAGATTACCAAGAAGATTCCGATTCGAATGGTATCCCAGATTATCTAGAAGACAGTGATGGTGATGGTATACCAGATTATATTGATGAGGATGCTACAACACAATTTTCACCGAAAAAATATCGTAAATTACGTTCTACTATGAAATTTGAAGATGAAGACGGTGATGGAATACCAGATCATTTGCAAGGTGATTCCGATGGTGATGGAGTTTTAGATTTCCTTGAAGATAGTGATGGTGATGGAATACCAGACTATTTAGAAGATGGTGATGGTGATGGTGTTCCAGATTATTTGGATGAAGATGCGAACAGTCAATTTTCACCGAAACATTTCATTGATAAAAATAAAGATGGTATACCTGACCATTTAGAAGGTGATTCGGATGGTGATGGTACACCGGATTATCTTGAAGATACTGATCAAGATGGTGTTCCAGATTATTTAGAAGATTCCGATCATGATGGTATACCAAATTATCTAGATAATGATGTTGTTGATGTTGAAGTGGAAGCAGTTGTTGAAGCCTACGATAAAGATACTAATAATAATGGCATAGCGGATTATTTAGAAGATTGGGATGGTGATGGTATACCAAATTATCTTGAAGATGAAGATCATGATGGTATTGTTGACTTCTTGGATAAAAAAGATAATCGTTTACTGGGAAAATGGACTAAAAATAAAAAAATGAAGTTTCAAAATCCAAATGATAAGAATGCCAACTTTATACCAGATCACGTAGAAGATGACTTAGATGGTAATGGTATTCCAGAATTTAAACAAGATTCCGACGGTAATGGAATACCAGACTACTTAGATGAAGGTTATTTGCATAAATTTCCAAAGACTTCGAAACAACACACTAAGAAGAAACGGAAACAAAATAAAAAATCCTCGGGTAAACGAGAATCTACCTCTAGGAGCCCAAGCAGTTCGGATCATGGCTCAAATAGTGATGATCTACCAAAAGAAAAAGGTAAATGCAAACGTCTTTTTATTTATTAACTTTTTAACAATAGTTTTTCGGTAGTTATAAGTCTTTTTTCGAAGTTCACCAATAAAACAGCTTTAATTGGTTACCGGTTACACCAAAAATGTGAATGGAATGAACTTTACGAGAATAAGTGATCCTAAGTCACGTGAGTATTAAGGTAGGGCACAAAAGGCAAGTCGATCAGAAAACGATGTCTATTAGGAGGTGAATTTGATATTCACTGATGTAAGTTAAGATATGCTGTGTTATACAGAATAATTAACTACACATGGAAGCATTCAAACATATCTTTAACTTAGTTTGAACAAATTCGTTGATAATCCCATTTTTTGAAGTTTAATTTATAAGCTGGCTAAGAATTTACACACCATGAACTGGAATGTTTCTCGTTATTTAGAGTTTACTATTTGTATATGAATATTTTTACCTGTAGACTAGGTATAACAAATAGGATAGCTAAAGGCTTCTTAAAAATTTTACTAATCTGACCAAAGAGATCATTGTAAACACCACTATCAAGAACCTAGTGAAGCCATATGAGCTGTACACAAAACTAATTCAAACTTTTCTACTCACTGTAAATCAAAAAGCTTCGTAGCTGAAACCGTGTATGATGTATAATCATGAAAGGGAAGTATGATTAGTCATCGAGCATGTATAAACAGGCATAGCCTTCTGACAACTAAATACGTGGTTTCATTTCCTTTTATTGATTTCTACTCCGCACCCACTGAATGTGATCGCTTGTGATTGTGTGAAATAAAATAGTGTCTATCGCTTACTCTGGTTCTCTGTTTAAACCGTAAACCATATACCTGGTTTAGCGTGATCTAGTTTCTGTGTAGTATACCGTTCGAGTATCTAATTCAGTGTGAGTATCAAATCATATCATTGCAGAAAACACTTATGTATCAAAAATACACGGCTGGATATAGACAAAATAAAACCTATTTCAATAAAATAGATGAATAAATACCATAAATAGTTTTCGAAACTGTCTTACTCTCGTGATTAACAGTTGCCAGAATCAACTTCAAACGAACAACTCACAAAACCCTAGCAATGTTTGGTTTAATACTTCTTAATAATTTATATCAAAAAAAATTTAAAAATACTCAGTCGAAAGAATAATAAGATATAGAAATGGAATTATTAAATCACGAAGAGAAATACTTCTGAAAAAGAAAATTGTAAATAAGTTGATGTTTATTCAGTGTATGGTTTCATCTTCCACAAAATTAAATAAAATATATTGATTACATTGGTTTCCGATAAGGAAATATTTTCAAAAACTGGTCTGGTTAGGTTGGTTAAAACTTTTGTATATTTGGCATATTTGATGTACACGTACGTGTGCTCGACATGGGGAATAGATTAATGTAGTACGAAAACAATTAAAACTTCAGTAAGAAAAATATACCAATTATTAAAAGTATGTGAATAGGATTTTTGCAAAATTCTCATAGTACAGTTTTTAAGCAAAACAACTGTTATTAATATAGTTTAATCAATGTGAATATAAGCATAGACAGACAGACAGATACAACGCAGAACTTTGTACATAAGTACATCAGTTCAGGTTGCCATACAACGTCAGCACAGAGAAGTAACTGTCAGTTCAGATCCAAGAGTGATAGCGATAGTAGAATTATTAGCAGCAATGGAGAAGATTAAGGAGCAAAGATATGATTCGAAAAGTATAATTCAGTGAGATAAATTTAGAAGGAGAAAGATAGAGATTATGAGGAATTTAGAAGGTTAGAATTAGAAAACACACAAAGAGTGGATGCATCTGCGCCATTGCAAACGATTTTGAGCCATGTCGTTCAAGGTCTCTAACCATTAGTGATGAATATAAGCATATCAAACATAACCAATCAGCTTAATTCAAAATTATGAATGGCCATAAATAAATCTTTCTGATAGCTAGAATTTCACATCATTAATGAGAAATTGTTTAAAATTAAATGGATGATTATATTTTTGAGTGATTCCGTGTTCACTAAACTAGCAACTTTGATAAACGAATTCTCTGTTTTGTTTGTACTTTTCTAGTTACTGACCGAAATAATAACGGGATCCCAGATCACTTAGAGATGAAAGACTCTGACAATGACGGAATTATCGACTACTATGATGACGACGACGATAATGATGGGATTCCTGACGATCAAGGTATTTCGTCTAAAAAAAGACATGCAAACTACTTAACCCCATCCCTCTAACACACACCGAAATGTGCTACAAATTGATATTGAATGGCTTCACGACTATGATTGTCACTGTTATAATTATGCATTTGTATTATTCCATGAAAGAAATGTTAAGTAAAGTGTGCGTGCACGTAAAATCTAATTTCTTTGAAAATGCTCAAGGTCAACTACACGTCGACAAATATACATTCACTTTGATAACATTCTCTTCTTGATTTGCATCCATTTATCATCACTTTTTATCTATTATCGCTTTCTTTGCTTCACTGTTATACTGCATTTGTTTATTTGTTTGCTGAAGCTCTCAATTGTATGTTAAACTTCTCCATCAGTCTTATTTAAAATTGTGTTCATTAGATGAAAACGGACTATTAAGCTTGCATGTTCTATCACATTTTTAGTTGAAATTCAAAAATTTTCTTTATCTATAAATACGAAGTAATTATTTGAATAGTTTGCTCCTGAAAAGTATTGGACATTTGTTGAATTTACGTATTCCTATTAAACACTCTAATTAACTTGTTTGTCAACAAACTTAGCTATCGGACATTTTTTTAATTCATAATGTTAATATTAGATCATCAAATACAATCAATATACAGGAGTACTCTTGGTTGATTATGGAGTAATAATCAGTATCATGAAGCTTCGTTCTCATTGCTTATTGAATTGTAATATGGTCTCCATTTCAAGTGACCAAATATACGGTATCGAGTGGTTGAACGGATGATCTATAGAAATCCATGAATCTAAGTCCCACCATGGTTGTTACGCGTCAGTCTTAAATGAATTGATGACTCCAGTGAGATTCAAATCCAGGTCACCAGCCAATGTCATAACCAGAACCGTTAATTAATTCTACTGTAGATCAGTGCTACCAAAATTGAAAAGATCTCTTACTGAAATAGTGTTGAGATACTATTAGTACTCATAATAAGCAAATCTATATTATACTCAAGAGACGAACAGTAATTCGATAAATATAATACGAAGGTTTAAACACTGAATTTAAAGATGATGAATAAGACTCTTAAAGAGTATCATTTGTATGATGGAAATCTATCTTTTATAGTAATAAACCAGGGTATCACATAAATCACTTAGCATTTTGGTAAATATTACTATTCTACTGAGTTTCTGAAAATATAAACTTTGAAGATATGCATCCTTACTCCTACTTTCATTCTCTGCTTATTATTCTATTATTTTTGTGTAATAATATGAAATAGTGAAGTTCCGATTGCTTATAATTCACGTTCTTGTTATCGTAAACATTCTCTTTAAAATTTCTTGTTGGATTGTTCTAATTTTTTCTACCTAGATGATGACGATGATAATGACGGCATCAAGGACTATCATGAAGATGTAAATGCTAATCAAATGTTAGACATTCTTGAAGCAAAAGATACGGATGGTGATGGCATTCCTGATTATCTGGATGATGACGATGATGGGGATGGTATACCTGATTGTGATGATGATGACGACGATGGTGATGGTAAGTAAAGCATTTCTGTTATTGATAATTATGTCTGGTTTCATTTAGAAGTTGTATACTCTCTCCTTACACACTGGCTAATCCACTGGCGAGAATAAGAAGTCTGAGGAATGGTTTGGTAACTTTAGTAGGCAAACTGAGCCCCATAAGTCATGAGGCCTTGAGGTCTACTTATTTTTCCTCTCGACCTAGACAAGGATATACAGGCTAAGACCTTGATGACCATGATTAGCTGCTTTTAACGGTCTCGATTATGATTTTTTACCTAGTATTTAGGGCACATGAGTACAGTATACTCAGATTTACCCAGCCCATTGACTTATTTCAGTAATACATGAATTTTCTAATGTAATTGGTAATATAAGATCTGACAACCAATACATCGCTACTGACAGGACAAGCATATCGACTGCTCAAAAGTCCTCATGCGTTAGAAATTTCAGAGACAATCAAGAGATAACCTTAATTAAGGAATGAATTTGTTTGACAATATGGTTTAACTGCAATATGAAGAATATGAAGAACCATTGACAATATCAAACATTAATAATTAGAATAGATCATTGTAAATTGTAATACCGAACTTCGATTATCACTATCCTTAGGATAAGTATGTGTCAGTTTTAAATTTCCTTATGTACCTCACCTAAGTCATGATTTCAGTCATTAAGACTAAGCAGGACTAAACTTTTGGAGAGATTATTAGTCAGTGCATAAGTATAGACATGATACGTTCATACTGCTCAGAATATACAGTGGGTTTTTTTTCGAAATCAATGTACGATGACTCATGTTTTAGGATATTAACAGTTCTATCCTGCAGAGTTACACTTTAATAAGTATTACAGAAAAACATTTAAACTTACAGGCGACCTCATTAGGCGTTTTAGATCATCCATCAATTTACTGAGCACATGAGCCTGGTCTAAATTTCTCAGTAATACTATGACCTTCAACGTGTCATTGGTTTAGTGTTAACCAATCTAAGCTGATAGTGATAAGTAAAAATGAATGAGTCAATCAGATAAGAGTACGGCAATTCGGTGATTGGGTGGTCAGAGTTACCATTTTTTTCATCTAATCTCTGTTTCTCCACACTCTGATCATATAGATCAGGCCTTGAAAAGGAATTAACTTGCATACATAACGACACAGTGTGCCAAGATCAGCAGTCAAACTGACCGTCTCTTGACAAACAACGAAAATAGACATTTATTTGTTCGAAGCATCTTTTCTTTGTATTTAATTTTTACCCATATAGTGTGAAAGCAAGAGTATTCAGGTTTTTGAAATTTTTAATTAATTTTAAAATTAATTACAAAATACTATGAAAGTATACATGAAGGGTGTTCATGATGGAGAAGAATGTATGGGTTATATATAAATCTCATATCAGCAATTGTCAGAAACAGCGTCTGCATTTTTTTTTAGAAATTACTTTTCTTATTTGTATATCTCAGCAGTAGTATGAACCTTCATTTCTAAGGCTTTTCATTAAATGATTGAGTTCAGCAAGTTTGATTTTATTTTAAATTTTAGGTATATTGGACAGTGACGAAGATGAAAACAGGAATAATATTTCCGATAGTTTAGAAAGTGAAGATTCGGATGGCGATGGTAAATTTTGTTGAAAATTATTTACTGTTAACTGTTTTCTCTTGAATTTTCTACTCAACTCGATTCCATAGAATTTCGTTGATCCTGGAATGTTATGTATATCTTTAGCTATTTTTCAGTCATCATTTCATAATTCAAGTAGATCTTAGAAAGGGTTAGCCAATTATCATCATTCTAGAATTTTGTACACATGTAAAATCGGACAAAATACAGTAGCATGATATGAAATTAACGCAATCTATTAAGAAAAGATTGGAACAATGTGGTAGTGTAACGTACGAAAAATTCAAGGCTAATGGAATATATAAATTTCGAGAAGACAGTTTATACACAAAATTTGTACACAAGCTTCAAATATCCATTTGTAATAGAACCAGATCACACATTTCCTCCTCTCATAACTCTATGGTCTTCAACATACTCTTGTTGCACCATGCATTTCTCACTTCAGGGACTCCTCTCTGATAGAAGCTTCCGAGTGCCACTCCATTGCAAACTATTTATATGCCACTTTGTGGGTAGCATTCTCCACAACAAGAATGCGAATGAAAAACATTCAGCATCAAGACAAAGTCTAAAGGTGTAAATGAAGGAATGGTAAAATCAAGAATGAATTTAGTTTGAATGATCTTACAATCCTAGGGTAAATTTGGTTTGAATTTTGAAACGGTATGAACTATTTAGATGTCCCAAATACTCACCCTTTCAAATTTGGGATGAAATAAAAATTATCTTCTATACCGAGCTCTAAGTTTATTTGGATCATTCATCTAAAATAATTTGATACATGTAATGAACTTCTAGTCATAATTTTTGCATGATGACTATTGTCGCTACAGAAGTAGAGGTGTTTTCGAACTTAGGGTTAGTCTACTTCGGCTGTAGAAAATGAAAATTTCATCCATGTAATAACTTTCAAAATATAGTAGAAGAATGCAGTTAGATAGCTCTGATTATGTAATAAGTAGGTTAAATCTTATTGGTAAATGATGTTTGATGAACCAAATCTCATTGATTGGATTATATGCGTATCAGTCAAGGAATTGTATGCTTAATATCTATAGTTAGATTGTTGCATTGACACATAAACGGGGATTATGTTGTGCAAGTGTACTTTATTGTGCTTCATTTTCATTTTCTATTTCCGTATCAGTCGGTCAGCTATATTTAATTAGAACTTTTGAATCATTCAAATACTGTTCTCATACATAATGATTCTCTTCAGCTAATTTTTAAATTATTCATCATTTGAACATTGAGCCATGTAAAAAAAAATATTGTAAGTACATCTTGCAGATAACTACCAACTAGCAAGAAAATTTGATCCAGGTTATTCTATTAACTGTTTAACATCTAGATAAAACGCACGTGATTTTGAATTCCTCATACAAGTGACCACACGGCAATTCGATCGATGGTAGTCAATCGATACTAAGAACTAGAGAAACATGATTTTAATTATGAATTAGGGATTAATCAATGTAAATAATGATTTGATACAATAAAATAACATGAAAATTTCTTATTTTGATCCAATTTTTGTTTAGTAACGTTTAAATGAAAATAAAAAAACTAAGCAGTTTAATAGCTATCTTCTAATTTATTTCCTTAGCGCAAAAATAGATTCTCAAGTTGTTGAAAATCACTCCCCAATTTATCAACTATCTTATTCGTCGAAAAAGTACTGATGGTAAAAAATTTATGTTTTTTTAAAATTTCACTTTTCCTATTTTTTTTTTGGTAAGAATTCCATCTTCATTTTATTTTCTATGTTTATCGTTTGTTTTTTTTCTTCTTAGGAATCATTGATCTACTTGATACAGATGATGATAACGATAATATACCAGACTATTTAGATAATGATTCCGATGGAGATGGTATTGATGATAAAAAACAAAATAAAAATCGTCCTAAAACTATTCGTTCAAAAGAAAATGACATAAAAAGTAAATCGTGTTTTGACTATATGAAAACTTGGATTCATTATTTTTGTTTGTATTTTTTTTTCAAATGTTCTGTCTGATATGATGAGAAAAAACTTATTTTTGTTGGTAGAAGTGATTGTGAAAGATAGAGAGAAAGAGCAAGCATACATGACTCTACATAATTAGTAGTGTCTAATTAGGTTTGTAAAATGTTACTTAATTTGAACTCACTTATTCAACTTGGAACAAGCAAACAACACTACGATTGGAATTGCTTGACTTCCTGACTTCGGAACTTACATTTATATATTACGACTAACATATTGGCGTTTAAGCTGATCGATCTTTGCGTCTTAATTTCATATAGCTTGTGAAATATCACTCCATTACCGCCAATACTTCCACTATCTCTACCACTTTGGGATTTGAACTGACAATTGTGTGTCTGTGCTAATGTAGTATGGCAACCTAAACTTATGTACGCACGTACAATGTTCTGCGTTTTAACTTATTGATTGATTGACTGACTATTATTGAATCTCATAAAAAATTATTCGTTTTTTACTGTCAGGGGATAGGTTTTTTTCTATTGATGTTTCAGTTTGAGATTTTTTTAATTATGTTTAATTGTCACTTGAAGTGTTGTGATTCTTTAAACTTCAAAGAAGTAATAATCTACTAATGACTTCAAAGTAAATAAGTTTGTTCTTCAGATAAAACCCTATACTTGTTTTTATCCTGTGTTTATTCGTTCAAAATATTCAGCAATAAAATTTATCAATATCTGCAGCATACATTATCATGTTATTGAACTATTCTGTATTGATAAAAAAAACTTAAACTCTAGCAAAGGATACTTTTAATCATTCATAATACTTTCATTTCGAAAATATAAAGTTTGTGAACAGTATTTAGTGATATTTTAACTCATTTAGTATTTCATTTGATTGACGTGACCTGTCTAGCTGCCTAGTATTTGTTTACCTAGAACTCCATACACTAATCAATCTGGGATGATAAAAGATATATCTAGGCTTCACGTATTCCGTTGCACAGGTTTTTTTGAGCAGTATTCTCGCACAACGAAACCCAATTGATCTTTTGGACATCCTGATCCCTTGATAAATTTACATTTGGCGAGAACAAAATTTTCAGAGTAACAGGAAATCACTATGTCAAGGTTTCCCGTCAGTTGCAAACGGTTTGCACTTACATTAGTAATATTATTATAAAAAGTGTTTCTTACATACCATAAATAATTAAGTTTAGTAAGAAACATCAGAAACCAGAAGAGGAAACAGCCTATTAAACGTGATAGTTAAGATTGATTAGCATTTATACATTACAGATGAAATCATATAAAAAATAGTAGGAAAGAGGTTGAAGTTATAGATGATAATAAATGGACAATGAATATAAACAAGTCATTCAACAATTAGTATTAATCCAGGTACGTAGTTGACATAAAATTGAATTTAACATCGTCAGTGTCAGTGTCATTTTCTTTAGTCCTTATATAATCATTCCACAAATACATAAAAATTTCTAGATACATTTAAAGGGGACCTCAGAAGGTGATGAATCCACTTGTTATTGGCTTAAAGGACATCAGGCACCATACACTAGAAATAGCTGATTTACAACTGTCATGTTAAATATGTTGTTTCCTCTCTTCGTTGTTCATCTCGAACTATACTTCATTGATCGCAGTATTTGAAACTTTCTATAATAATATTATCAACGTAAACGTAAGCTGCATGAAGCCTTCAAAAATGATGAATTCCTGTTACTCTGTAAATCTTGTTCTTATCGTCTTATTTAATGTTAGTGGTCATGGCCATGAGTCACAGTGTAGGAGGTAAAAAATATAGAATATTGATGAAGTTGGCTTTTGCAAGACCCCTCTTTATCTACTTCGCTTAGCAGAGCAAAGAAATACAAAAAACCTGTAGATATATAAAAAAATATGAGATAAGTAGGAGTAATAAGATTGAATGTGGTAAACTAATTATTCCCATTACTGTTTAATGCGTAATGTGATAGTCCCGAATAGACAAATACACCAGTTAGAAAAAGTACAGTGGAAACATTGAAAAGTTATTTATGTAAATACATGTCTGCCTAAAACCAGTTTTCCTCTGAAAATAACTGCTCATCAATAAGATCACGAAATTGTTTTCGTCCATAAAATAGTGAATGCTGGGAGTATTGAGATTAATCTTGGTAGATATATGTGATGATTTGTTGTATATTGACTGAAAGTTTATTCTTGTTAGACGGTGATGTCTTATCTAACTAGTGCTTTTGAACTAATACAAGATATTGAAGTATTTAAGATGGCTAATCGTGTCAGTTTGTTTCCTGAATATGTCAGCATTGTTCAGCTGATCAATTGTTAGTAATAATCATGTGATCCTATCTCGGGCAATTCATGATTACTAATATGATATGGTAGAAAATAATGCCAATCAAATGAAATTCCATTTACTTTTAATGATCAAGTTACAGCAACAGATACTTTGCATTCGTTTGTTCCAAAATCTTTATCATTGATTAATAGTAGGTGATGTAAGTATTATCTATTGTATTCATTCATTACTTATTGTTATGAACAACATGATGAAAATAGCTATTTCATTCAGTTAATATAAACATTTGCATCACATTTAGTACCGATTAGTGTTAAAGGGAGGAGAGATGGTCTTTTTTTAATATTATCGTCATCTTTTATTTTAAGTACTGCTAAATTACTTAACTTAAAGCAACTGCACAGTGTAGTAGAATGTATATTTTTAATATTGTGAATTTCATGTCTCACAAGAAAAATAATTATTTCATCAAAAATGTCTTTCATATGAACATTAATTGATTATCAGTTCATGAAAATAATGTGATGACTTACAAAATCATTCATTTGATTTAAATTATAACCAAATTCATTTTTGATTTAGTGGAAATAGGATTTAAATCTTGAGATACTACCAGTGAGACATTAGATACCAAGATATCAGATCATATGACTAGGATTAGTAGGACTTAACCACTAGACCATACATTCAATCAAGACACTAGATAATGGATAACTTCTACCCAGGTATACAAAATTCGATTCACGACGATTGAGAACTAGGTTAAACTAGACAATAAATAGTCTAGTGACACAAATCACAAATAGTCAGCATACAGTGTAGTTCAAGTAGATACCATCTCTTACGCATAGAAATATTCTACATATACATAGGCAATCGGAGGACATACCCGACTTTGCTCAGTAGCCAGTCACAACTTCATTTCATTTGACACACCAATTTTGTACACAGCCAAGGCCCTTCTGTTTTGTTCCCTCATTATCTTATTTTTTTTATTCTAGATAAAGCAACCCAAACGGTGGTCAAATCGGCTTCGCCTATATCTCAACCACAAAGAAATTCAAAACACAAATCAGTACCCAAAAAGATCGCAGAAGATGATGACGGGGACGACGACGATGACGACGACGAAGATAGTGAAGAAACCGATAATAGTTATGATAACAAAAAATCATATAAAAAGAAAGATAGTGGTATTAACAGTGATAACGCTGATGAAGATGATGATGACGACGATGATGATGATGATGGTAACGAAGATGACGACGATGAAGGCGCTGATGGTGAACCTATGTCTAAAACTAGATCTGTTGTTTTATCTATATTAAAACGAATCGAAAATATCTTTGGCGTTGAAGGTGATAGTGGTGATCATGATACTGATGAGAATGAATCAGATGAAGAAATTCATGATCACTAAAATATTATTTCAACCTCTTTTTTTATACTAAAGAGATTTCATATGATTTTATTAGAACGCAAGTTGTTTTAGAACCAATAATTATTACAGTCAACTATTACTACCCATTCTGTTCTTTTAGTTTACAACTGTTGAATATACTAGCTCAATTGAGAAATATAATATTTTAATGTATGATAATATACAGTTGTATACTTTAACTTTATTTTCCATTCTTAAAAACAAATTCCTACATACAAATTGAAGCCCTTGAATAATACTTTCATGCAATAGCTTAACTGTGTATTCATTCAGTCTTTTCGTTCTCCTTCCTCAACTCATTTTTATTGCTTCAATTTCGATTCAGTTAAACTACTTAACTTGTAACTTATCCAATTTCTTCTTGTTTGTTTGTTTCACTTTCATTTTCTTCAGTGGAAGTAGAAAGGTGTAGACAGTAAACCAACAAACAAGTAGACAAAGGAGACTAGATTAGTAAATAACAAAAAGAAATAAGGAAAGTCAACAGTGTAAAGTCATATTCCACTTCGATTTTCCGGGTCTTTTGTTTGCATCAGTTATATTGCATTTTCGTCAGTTACACACAAAAATACATACTATATGAACATATTTTTAATGGCACTACTACTACTACTACTACTACTACTACTACTGCCTTTCTTTTAACTACTACAAATTAGTTGTTCATTCATCAGTTGTGATCCAACTCGTTACGAATGTTTATTCCTCGTTTTCTTTCGGTTTTCATGTTTCATTTCATCATCTACTATTTTAAATTCATATACAATAGAAATTTTCAAAACGTTAACTCCCTACATACACTGTTTTATTTTTGTCTTCAACCTTCAATTTCAATTTAATATATATACACATCTAAACAAAAAAAATTACAGTACAGAAATAAAATATTATTTAGCTGAGTTTACTTATTGCTGTTTTTAATAATAAAGCTTGCTGGTTTTCTTTTTAAACATGATGTATTTAGTAAAGTTAGATTGTGACTTGCATCGAGATTCAGGGCACGTTTCTCATCCTCTTTAAGACTCATCAACTGAACCTTTATGAACCCTAGTGTTGATGTTAACAGTGGAATTCGAATCCAATAGCTATCATTTTGAGAGTTTACGCACTATCCTCCAAGTTATTAAGTACAAAAAGTCATTAACTTTTTCAACGTATATGATATTATTGATAAAAGTTCCTATTTTCCCGTTGTTGTTATAACAACTACAATTAATCAGTCATTATTGGCAGATGCATATCCTGTGCAAATCACCTCAAAACTACTAGACACAACTGAACTTCACTGAAAATTCATGACTAAATGGAAATAGTAGATGCACTCTCATCTGGATTCATACACGCCAGTAGAAACTATCAAGAAATTCGAACTATGCTCAGGTTACAGATAACTACGTTCGTATTTCAAAACTTGACTAGTGGTAATATATAACTTGTAAATAAAGTTATTCAAAAACTCATGCTTATGGACACTTTCACCATGAATAACTAACGTTGTCTAAGTAACAGGAATAAATATTTAAGCCTATGCAGTGTGTTATCCAATACCCCATTTCCTAAATGTGATAAGCATTGGTCACAATGATCAATTTTCAAGTTACTTAGTCCATTGGTAGACTCACTCAAACTAAATTAACGGAATTCAATCAACATTAAACAAACTAGAAAAACAAGACGCTGGTAAATTCTACAAATAATCGAGTGATATACAGAAAGCTGTGAAAACAGCCGTGATGTCTGCTAGCAAGGTAGACCATAAGGTTAGGGAGAAGCAGTGGATTTCAGTAAAGTCCACTTAGCCGATAGATGCTCGAAAACTAATCCCATCTTTCTCTAAACATGATGACGAGCGGAGTCAGCTTAAGCCCACGCTGATAAGAAGCCTACGGAATGATCATGAACACTGTTGAGTAGCGAAAGCAAGAGATATGGAAAAGGCAGCTGTAATAGGCAACACCAGACAACTGTCCAGACTTACCAGGGTAACCAGTATTAGAAATGTGACTGTTAGTGAGACTATCTCGGAAAAAGATGGAACTTCTATTCAATCCCAATCCAGGAGATTGGATTAATGGGCCTTCAACCAGGATTCGGTTTCCCACGATCTGCAGTCATCCTGAATGGCAAATAGACGTAAGTCCTCCAGTTGATGATGAGATTGAAGAGTCCATAGGCAACCTAAGGCAAGGGAGATCAGCAGTTCCTGATAGACTAACATCCGACATTTTTAGGGATGATGGTCCAGTTTTAGAAGCGAAATTGATTGAGATCTTAGGTAGAATCTGGGAAATAGACGTAATCCCATATAACTGGTCTGTCACTGATTGTCCCAGTCTACAAAAAAGGACAAACATCCTCTTGTGATAATCAGAGGAATCACTTTAACTAATATGGTATCTAAAATATTGGCCTCAATAGTACTCTGACGCTTAACCAAAGCTCGTGAAGAGCAGACTAGCGAAAACTATGCTGGTTTCAGACCTAGATGTGGATGGATAGACCAAATACTCACACTTCGTCAAGTACTAAAATACAGACGCATATTCAGACGTCCGACAATAGTTAAGTTCCTAGACCTAACGGCTGCATTCAACTCTGTTGATCGTAAGGTTCTGTGGCAGTGTGTCATCAGAAGGTGTACCAAAGAAGTACATTAACATTATACATGAGGCTCGCTTATCGACTTAGAATATGCCGATGACATAGTCCTACTTGGTGAAGACGCTGACAAAATACAGTCTTCTGACCACCCTAAGCAACAATGCAAGCATGTTCGAGATGCGATTTCCCCCTCGAAATGCAAAATGTTGCTTCAAGATTGGGTTTCATCGGCACATGAACTAGTGATAGGGAGTGAAGTAGTCGAACGTGTAGACCGCTTCACTTATCTTGGGAGTCTCATCAGCGCTGATGGCCTGGTGACTGACGAAATCTCATCTCGGATACAGAAGGCTCGATTGGCTTTTGCCAATCTGCGTCACTTATGGCGTAGGCGAGATATCCGTTTGCTGACTAAAGTGTACTGTGCAGCAGTTCGCTCCGTCCTACTGTACGAATGCGAGACTTGCCGTTAAGAGTAGAGGACTTCCGTAGGTTACCAGTCTTCGGTCATCGAAGTCTCCGAAGCATAGCTAGTGTATCATGGGACAACCGTATAAGCAATGCTGTCGTTAGGAAACGAGTTCTAGATAAGGACGGCAAATCAATAGATGAAGTAGTGAAACTTCATCAGTTGAGGTGGCTGGGACATGTGTTACTTATGGCTAACCACCTGGTTGGGGTCTGCGAGACGAGAGACCTTGAATGACATGGCTCAGAATCGTTTGTAATGGCGCAGGTGCATCCACTCTTTGTGTGCTCTCTAATATTAACCTTCTGAATTCCTCATAATCTCTACCTTTCTTCTTCTAAATTTATCTGACTGAATTATACTTCTCCAATCATATCTTCGCTCCCTAATCTTCTCCATTACTGCTAATACTTCTATTATTACTGTCACTCTTGGATTTGAACTGACAGTTGAGTCTCTGTGCTGACGTGGTATGGCAACCTGAACTGATGTACTTACGTACGGAGTTCTGCGTTGTATCTGTCTGACAGGCCCTCTACTCGTACATTATCTTCGTTTGACTTTTCAAGAGTGGACCTTCTACCAGGAGACGCGCTTGCTGACTTAGAATATACCGGTGATATAGTTCTACTTGACGAAGACGCTGATAAAATGCAGATTCTGACTAACCTAAGCAACAACGCAAGCAAGTTCAGAATACGATTATCCCCCTCGAAATGCAAATTGTTGCCTCGAGATTAGTTTGCATCGGCACTTGAACAAGTGATAGGGAGTGAGGTAGTCAAGGGTGTAGACCGCTTCATCTATCTGGAGAGTCTCATCAGCGCTGACGGCCTGGTGACTGACGAAATCTTAGCACGGAACAGAAGGCTCGATTAGCTTTTGCCAACTTGCGTCACCCATGTCGTAGTCGAGATATCCGTTTGCAAATCAAAGGAAGAGTTTACTGCACAGCAGTTCGCTCCTTCCTGCTATATGGCTGGTAAGAGTTGAGGATATTCTTAGGTCATTAGTATTCGATCATATATGTCTTTGGAGCATTGCTCGTGTATCCTGGGACAACCGAGTAAGCAATGTTGTCGTTAGGAAACGGGTACTAGAAAAAGATAACGAATCAATAGATCAAGTATTGAAACTTCGTCAGTTGAGGTGGTTGGGATGTGTTGCGTATGCTGTTTTGCGGTGTAGGATTAAGTTGGAAGAAACCTTGGGTCAGCCGAACCAAAACATAGCACAAGTCCGTGAAGTCACTGACAAGTGAACTGAGTCATGTTGGTAGATGAAGACCACCTGGTTGGGGTCCGCGAGATGATAGTAACCGATGGTTAGAGACCTTGAATGACATGACTCAAAATCGTTTGCAATGGAGCAGGTGCATCCACTCTTTGCGTTCTCTCAAATTCTTATCTTCTGAATTGCTCATCACTTCTGTCTTTGTCTTTCTAAACTTATCTCACTGAATTTTACTTCTTGAATACTATCTTCGAACCCTAACCTTCTCCACTACCGCTAGTAATTCTACGATCTCTACCACTATGGGATTTGAACTGACGGTTGCGTCTCTGAGCTAATGCGGTATGGAAACCTGAACTGATGTACATATGCACGAAGTTCTATGTTGAAACTGACTGAATGATGACTTTTGGATCAAGCTGTATAAAAAACAAGGTTCGGTTAATTTAGGGGCCTACATCACTTGAACTAATATAGACTTTGCTTTTCTTCCGCAGCAAATGAAGCTTAGCATCATATATTAAAAAGTTTGGCATGATTCAACAAAAATCTGAGGTTAAGATCCTTGATAAATGCGATCTCAAAGACACTTGAAATATTTTAAGATGAACGGAAAAAGTAATTTTAGTTCTTCCGTGAGCTCAAATAACTGAGCTCCATCCCATCTACCGGATGTAATTGACAAAAATGGCTTGAGGAAGATTAAAGTGTCCTGAGATTAAGATCTGAGTCTGTCCTAGTCTAAAAGAATGGGTTAATCTTTGCACCATCCGACTGTCACACTGGATGTTAGTAGTACATTTTATGTAGACCACTTAAGGTACTAAAAAACTTGATGTATACAAGTCAGATTCAATGGGATTAACAAGCACTTGATAAGCTACCAAAGAGAAACCTCATATAATCCGGCTTTCTCGTCATTAGGAAAAGAGAACACTGTGCATGAACAGCTGCAGGTGAGTAATATTTCTGTTACGCCTATCAGATAGAGGTTATTTATATTTCTTAATTCACATGACCTATCCATTTTGTCAGGTAAACTTGCAGCTTTCGAGCATAAATAATTTGTACTTTTTATTCGAAATGTATGTACATAGTTTCCTCATCGGATTGAAACTTACGTGAATCGGCAAACTACTTAGAGAAGACTTTCTAGGTTACAATAAGAGGGGACAATTTAAGTCATTCTAGGTCCCAATTAAATGGCTAATGTGGGCACTTGGATGATATTATGATCGGCATTAAATAGTAAACCAACAATCGGTTCCAACAAAATGAGGTCTAATGAAAGTTATTTTGCAACTTAACCAAAATTACTAACATGAGCTACACATCCTTCCCATTATCTCCAAATACATATGCATCCCTAATTCACATTTTCAACGGAATGCAATGGCTAGTCTAAATGGTAGTAACTAACATTAAAGAGATTTTTATTTTAACAAAATAAAAACCACAAAATAAAAACAACGAATCCCTCATCATGTTGATAAAGTTCTTTTCTGCGCAAATGTAAATATATATGAAGGAAGCAAGTTTATAATATATACTGATCACATTCAACAGTAATTATATTATACACAGCAAGCGCTCAGGATACTAACACACCCGAAGTTGATGATGAAGATACATTATCGTTTTTGTCTGACCCCGTAGAATCTTTTTCACCAGCGATTCTTATCTTATGCTCAGCTTTGTATCTTTGAAGTTCTCGACCTTTTTCTTCAAATTGCTTTGACAATGTTTCGATACATTCAGACATCTAAACACATAAATTTGGAAAATAAAATTTACTTTTTGTACACTAGCTTCAAGAGCCGGAAGTACGTCCTTCACCTGGCGTTCAATCAACACATTGTCTATCATCCGCATGCACTTACGAGTGGGCTCCACTGACTGTAACACCTTAATGACCATGCTTCAAAAAAGTTTAAAACAAAGATTTATTAGGACCGAAAACGAATTCACCGAAACAGTGGTCAGTATTTAAAAAAAGGATATTTCTTGTGGATAATTAATATAACCCTTAGACAAGTTTGACTGTAGAGTGCAATACAATAAAAAGCTAGTTTGGTAACTATATTTTCAATGGTATTATGTGAAGATAAAACAGGAAAAAAAATCATCAGAATAGGCTCTCTATATACATTAAGTCCATATGGAATGTGAATAGATGGTAACCGCATAATTCTTGAAGATCTGATGAGTAAATATGGTGTCGTAGTTAGTCTCGTCTTCCATTTGAAAAAGCCCAGAAAGCTAAACTACGGAGAAGCCAGTTATCGAAATTCTTACCTGTTACTGAGGTGGGCCAGGTGAAAAACAAACGATTGCCTTAGTGATGATGAGGGAGACAACACATAGACTAGTTTCGCAAAGACGAATACTACCCACTTGACCAAGAAAGTTTATGAAAAAGCTTGTATCTCTACTAAATTAGGACGAAACTAAGAATAGCCAACATTTTATGATAAATAGGAAGTCTTAAGCATTGCAGCAAGTTTTAATAAAACAAATGACATAAGAGAATGGATATGAACTAATGATTTAGTGTTTTGAGTACAAACACAGTAGGACGCGAATAAAAATGCTCCGAAAATATGGAACTTTAAAGGTGAAATGTCAGTGAAAAATAACTACTTAGCTATTCAGAAATACTTGCTAAACCTTGTAATCATGAGTTCGGCGAACCACAACAGGCCAAAGCACGAAAGTTAGAGTTTAAAACTATATTCCTAACGCTAGGTACATTATTCAGCTTGAGTATCATCTTTCAAATCAGGGACGAACCATGCATTGTAGTCACAAGAATTCAGAACAGTTCGTGAGGTTTTATCAAGTCTATCCCATATTCATAGTATGTTATTTTATCGAGATGTAGATATTTCAACAAAAACTTACTTGTGTTCTCTTTGATCAAGCTCTAGATCATTAATTTTGCTACCAATGGAGCGTTGTTCGTAGCGTAAGCGATTAAAACCTTCCACTATTTCCTCTTCCGTTTGGGTCTTTGCTTTACTAGAAGATGCTGATGACATTGGACCAAATAATATATCACACTTTATTGTACCGTCACCTAGGTACAGCGCGCGTCTGACCCTTCAAGCCTTTTATGTTATTGCTCAGAAACAAGAAATTGCGCTTCTTCATGAAGAAGCGAGAGTGTCACGGTATTTTCTTGAATTTTAACAGAATAGTAACTAATAGGAGGTAGGGGTTATAAAATGTTCCCATACCCAATACAAAATCCAATATCATTTTCATGAGCTAGTGTAAACCAATTGTTTTATTTGTGCTCGATTCGTGTAATTTCGGTGTCTCTACAGGTATTTGATATTGTTAAATGAGTGAGGGACCAACCACTAGACTGTACCAATTCTAATCAGTTGGCAGTTGTTTGTGCTTGTACGTCCCGTGATTTGAATGAGTACGTTTATTTGCAGGAAAGTACTATTTCTGGATACTAACAGCTATTACATTACCGATTCAGGGATCAGTTAATTGCGATGTGGAGAATAATGAGAAAAATGTAGCTAAGTGAAAGATTTCAGGACCAAGTGAATTAATGTACAATTAAGTTAACTAATTGGCAGTGAAGATTGTGCAAGAGGACCAAAGTATGGGAAAGGAGGAGGGAACAGAAATAATAAGCGAGACAGATTAGGTTAGTTATCTAAAGAAGAGTCAATAATAACAAGTCTCAAGACATGCATCTGGCACAGCTGGTCCACGAAGATGATAATCCGTATGTGAGTACGTGTCTATCAAGTCTCTTCCTAAACCTGGCAGCTGAGGAGGCTGTGATCACGTCAGCCAGGAGTGCGACAACTCTGAATGAGAAGAAGTGTGCACGGACTTAGGTGTTTGCTCTTTCATGCACAATTTTTCAAGGATTTCCTCGAGAGGAGTGGTGGTGGTTTAACAATTTACCTAATTTTACAAGGCTGAGTGTCTGTATTGTTTTCCTCTTTGAAAACTGTTGTGTATGGCCAAGCATGTCTCAAACGACCTATCTGAGACTGTGAACGAGATTTATTCAGGTGGCAATTTTTAAACATTTGTCCCATGGCAAGATAACTTGTAAGTTACGTTTGCTTTGTTCGTTTCAGCTTTTTCACTATCTCACTATTCCTTCGACGTTTTTTATGTCTTTCTGAAGGGAAGGGGGAGTATACATTAGGTTCATATTCAGTGACATATCATAAGTAAGAAGCCTCTGGATCCGAAACTAAAAAAATAAAGTAATACAACTATTGTGCTCCTCGGGATATCATGAGCCATAGATCTCGGAAATGCTTTATCAAATTGTTTTTGAACCCTTTCAGAGAGATTCAAGTGTCCTTTATAGTAGGTACTTGGATCCTGAACATTGTTTCATAATGTTTTTCACTTCGTGTGAATCGTAGTGAACAGACCCATATCTGCCAGGTAAATGCTACCGTGGATGCCATAACAGTTCATTACCCTTCATTACTGATTGTTGTTTGAGTCTTCCCACTGACGTGACTGATCAGTCCCTTTTGGTATATGTTCATCATGTACAGATTCCTTCGATACTGAGTCTAGGTTACAAGCATTATAAGCAGAAGTGAATAGTCTCTAGCAGTGGGATACAGGACGCACATATCATTGTTGTGCTTGTAATATTAAGTTAACATCAGAGATATCTGCAGATGATGTGCATATGCTATGGAAGAATGTTCAGTTGAATTTTTGAACAACAATCAGAAGATTCAAACAACCACTCCGAAAAAATTGATCAACGCATCAAGCATTTGGTTCAAGCCGATTAGTGAAGCCTTATTTAACTAGCTGTCCTAAGAAAGATGGAGACATTTTGATAACTTTTATTTCGTCTTAACAGACTACTCATCCCACAGTTAGTTCAGAGCTGGTTACGATATGCTATAGGACTACTGTTTGTAATAAGAACGTTTGAATTCCATGTTCTCTGTGTGGTAGTATGTGTAAATCACTTCAAAAACAATAAGGTTTAACCCATTGTTTAATATTTTTAGTGCCTATAATCCTTTAACTTATGTAGTCAATAAAATCATTGTCTCAGAGATTCTCTCAAAACATTGGCTAGTCAGATCTCTGAAATATTTTAAAGTTATTTTTCAATGCTAGCTCAGAGCCCACTTCAATAACTCTGACATTACACCCACTTATCTTTAGAGTATTATCCCCCCTCTGGAACGTTTCTAAAAAGAGGAAACCTTAACGTTTCTAGTAGGAGAAAAATTCCTGACCCAGTTCACATAAAAGTTGGAAACTGGAAAGTTATGCAAGTGTGGAAAATTTGAGTTGATATAATCATGATATGTCATATCGATCCTAATTCAATTTATCTTAATATTTACCTGTGCTCTATTTGGAAACGACGTGGCTTCTTTCCCCCATCATCTAAATTCATAGTTTTGATCACTTTTACGAATCCAAATATTGTTTTGTACATTAAAGTGACACTAAGAGTGTTGATTCTTTTCTAGCGAATTTTTAACCTGTGCATTTTAGAGTCTACTTATTTTTTTTCCGTCTTTTGCGCATTTGGACCTAATAGCTAACTGGCCATTTATTGTGGTTATCAGTCTTTGTTTTTGAGTGTCTGTTTACTTTACTTTACTCTTCCAAATCACTGGACATAGTAAAAAAGCATATGCCAACACTGGCTGTTACCACCTCGTTGACATTTGAATGCCGTATAGTAAGCGCAAAGTATGGTACCACGAATTTCAAACAAATCTGACACCTAAACTTAGTGACGCTTCAGTGAAACAATACGTAATGTTGCTCGGGTGAGAAGAGCTATTAACACGATACCATTGTAGTCTGTTTTATAGACTCAAATTTTAATCAAAAGTCACATTTTAAATCTTCAAATAGTTGAAATAGTGTTCAGAGTGAATATCGCTCCTTCTAATTAAGCTAAAAAATTCTTCTAAAATTTATCTACACAGTTTTCATCACTGATTCATAAACTACAACCTATCCGTCTTAAAACTGAAATTTTTATCATGACATACCTTAAGGTTCATAATTTGTTTAACTGACTACGAGGTGCCGAGGTCTCTTTGATTTCAAGGTCTTCGGGAACATATTGCGTTTTTTTTTATTTCATGCAATTTCGAATACCAGTAATCAGAATATCTCGACACATTAACTAAGTTTTCCAGGTTTTTTTATATTGTCAAACTGGCACTTTATGAAAGGGTAAACCTTCAAATGAGGATTTAGACGTTTTTGTATCGTTTATCCGCTATCAGTTTTTCCGCTACTAGACTTCCTTTTAAGTCATCGCTTCTTGGATTTTAGGACTAAATTCATTGATCTGCGTGGTTGGATCAGGTTCAAGATTGTGTCTAGCTCATTTTAGTTCGTCTCTAAATCTAAGTTTCGATTCCTAATATCTATTCCATTCATAATAACATATAATCCATGCTAAAATGTTCAGTTGTCAAACTTTCGTAATGTCACCGTGGCATCGCTACATTGTTATTTGTAATTCTTTCCTTCATCCGAACCTGGTACTTTTTCACGTAACTGAACGCAACGTTACCATGTCTAAACAAGAAACGGAAACTGGGTATCTCTCAATAAGTGTTGTAGTATATTCTGGCACTGGTGATAATTTTTTGCCAAAGTTTTCTAATCTTTATTTATCTTGAAGTAAACAGTTTGATGTTAATTATGTTGAAAAGTAGGAGAATAGGTATTGATTCTTGCAAAAAGTAAGCGATTCAGATTTGATTAATTGTAAAAGTAGTCAAATCGTTATTGATCTTAGGGAAGCTAAAAGTGTTAGTTTCGACTCAGGAAAGTCTGAGCGAAAATCGCATTATTGGCATTAGATTGAGAGGAAGGCGACAGCTTGATATATCATCTATATTCACACCGACTATTCCTAAGGAGTTTCTTCTTAATTTCCCCGATATTTGCCTTCAGTCCCCTCTTTGTTTGTGATATAACGTACATATTTTGATCCTTCTTTCAGTGCTATATTTTCCCGGGATGTGAAACTGTGTACTATTGCCACTTTTACTGTCTCCTATTTCTAGCTCAAACAACTCTTTATTTTCAAAATTTCTGCAAACTCTTGTTGTTCTCATTACTTGTTTCCCATAACCGTCATAATCATTTTTCATATGTTAAAAAATTTAGAAATTCATTTTTTATAGAAAACTCATGATTTCGGTCTGTGTATTTTTTCAGTTATCATTTAGATTCATTTTGAATTGCAATAGCTGAGACTATTCAAGTTTGTTTATTACTTCGGAACCGTTTAAGAAGAGATTTAGTCACTTTTAGTCAGTATTAAAACAGATGGATCATATTTACACTGAAGGTAATATCTGTAAACTACTTTGTTAGATCTTTCAGATAAGCCTGTATCGACACAAAAGGTTAGTAAAGCAGCTCGTCGTCGCGAAAAACGGGCTGCTCTTCAACGTGCTCAACAAACGGCTGCTTTAATGAATATACAAACCGATAAATCCGATAGTCTTCGATCTGTTGAAATGAAAAGGTTAGAAAAGCAACTTGAAGCTCGTCATCTAAGTTTATTTGAAGTAAGTTTTCATAAGGATGTAAGTAACTTAGGGTTTCGCATATCACTGTAGCTTTCTGGTGATAAATGTAAAGATATCTTTACTCCTGTCTTGCGTCTAAGGTATGAAAAACTTTTACTTGTACTGAACATTAATCAGTTATCAGTCGATCTTAACCATAAAATCAGCGAAAACTTAAATAAAGTGACTTCCAAAACTTGCCAGTTAGAATGGAGTTGTTCAACAAAATAAAAAAGATGGTTGCAACCTTTAGTATGCAGAAAAAACTAATGAAATGTTTTGATAGATAAAGATAATTGTAAGTTTCATTCTACGTTTTTTAGTTAATGAAGTACTCGACACTCAAACCGCGGTGATTTTTCGATAGAAAAATAAAACTCAGTGCATTTATAAAATCAGGGAAAGTCTTTCAAAGTACATCAAATATTCAGTGGCGAGAGTGACAACTAGATAAATAGCTGCATAGTTTGAAGCTAAAGGTTTAGACTTTAGTGATCATGGTTTTTCGTATGCCCTGAACAATTTTATCACAACCTGTTTTATTAGTTTCTTACTCGTTAGCAATATTCTACTACCACACAAAAAGTTCCGTCCTGATTATTACAACCAGCTGTTAATAGATGTGTACAAACATAATTCCTTCTCGTCGACGAAACTGATAGATCCTTGTTTTAAACTCCATTCGAATATATTTATCTGCATACAGTACATACTTTTACACCTGTACTGGCTTCAGCAGGTATTTCCGACAAGCATTTATATATATATATATATATCTGAGTAGCTAAGTTAACTGAATTAGTATCTGTGTTCTTTTCTATCTAAATAGGTAATCATCAAGCCTTCATATCTGAGATTTCATGCTTTTAGTTTTGTTATTCTTTATTTGCTATTGTATATTCGTAGTTTGACGAGTCTTTTTACACTTAAAGTGTTCACTACCTTAATCTTCTTTGACTGGTATAATAAAAAGTGAATAGGAATTAGTCTGTGAGCTAAATAATAATATTATTAGTAAGAAAAACACTTCAGTTAAGAAAAACAAAACCAAAAAGGGTTCGTTCAGTCAAAAATGTTCCTCATTAATATGAAGAACAAAGGAAATTACAGCAGGACCTTACTGGTTCCTGTTCTGAGCCACGTGTAATGACGTTTCAAGCCACTTAATTGCACTTTAGGATCCCAACCAGGGAGTCGTAAAGAACCAATAGAGACTAATCCTGTACAGCTCTAACCATGTCAAACACTAACCACCTCTTCGTTTGTATTGTAACCACAAACTTGTGTATGTGTTATGCTTTCCGATATTCATGGGGCAAATAAAGACAAACAATGCAATATTATTTAGAGGCGACCGATTCTCTTCTGTAATTCATTTCCAGGAAAGTTTGCTCCCTTAATGTATGGTGAAAAGAAAAAAAGTCGTAACTCTTCTACCGATTGTTCTTTTACTGTTCTTTTTCACATTGTTTATTGTGAGGTCCCTTCAGATGGAGATTGCCTTTATCAGTCAATTGGTCATCAGTTAAAAGTTCGGAATTATCCATTACACACATTACTAGAGAAGATTGGAACGTGTAATGCAGATAATTTAAGTAGTATTACCGCAGATCAGACAATGAAGCAATTGGTGAAAATACTGCGTCATCTTGCATCGTATCACATTCGCAAGAATATGAATGATTTCCTACCATTTTTATTCAACTCAAATTCTGGAGAACCAATGAGCATAGGTATTGTAATTTACTTGACTATCATAATTTCTTTATGTATATTTCTCAATAATGTTTTTCAAAATACAATTCAGTTAAGTGGTTTTTGAGACTTATTTAGTTTAAACGATAGTCTTTATCAGGAGCTGAAGTCAACTATAAATTTTTTAAATAAAAAATAGCACTAAATCACGGTTTATCTGCACAGTTTCGTATTCACACAGGACGGTTTTATTTTTTACAGTGAAAACGATATTATTGGTTGTATGAATGGAAATGAATAATAATTCTTTAGCTAGCACAGGGACGCAATTGCTAATTCGAATTCCATAGTAGTAGAGATGGTAGAAGTATTAGCAGTAATCAGAGAGATTAGGGTTCGAAGATATTATTCAAGAAGTATAATTCAGTGAGGTAACTTTAGAAAGACAAAGATAGAAGTGATGAGGAATTCAGAAGATAAGAATTTGAGAAACGCAAAGAGTGGGTGCACCTGCGCCATTGCAAACGATTTTGAATCATGTCATTCAAGGTCTCTAACCATCGGTTACTATCATCTCGCGGACCCCAACCAGGTAGTCTTCATCTACCAACATGATTCAGTTCACTTGTCAGTGACTTCACAGACTTGTGCCATGTTTTGGTCTGGCCACCCCTACCTTTCTTCCAACCTACTCTTACCTTTTCTAACCCCTTGTGTGAAGGCAGTATTGCTTCAGATGCTGGTTGTCCGAGGGGAACACATTACTGCTGTCACGTCCCTCTACAGTCAGCAGTACGACTTCGCCCTCGTACCTCAAGTAACTGGTTTAAGTCTCATCTTTCTTCAATCAACCTGCCTGGCATGGTAGAACCTACAGGAACATATGTTTCAGCCAATATAGCTCGGTTAAGTCATCACGATAGGCAAGGCCGACCACTACGTTAAGGTAGCAGCTACGGTCGGGGAAAACCAACACACCGTTCTAATATTTAGAAAATCATCTGATAATGAATAGAAAATTGACAGAATGATGCTGGGTACAACACACTTAATGAACATTGCAGATAAACTTAGCTGTAAGAACATTCTCGCTTATCTAATTGATAAACTCAGTGAGTAGGTCAGTCAGCTACAACGTAGAACTTGTTACGTACGTACATCAGTTCCAGATTCCATACCACATCATCACACAGATCGAATTGTCAAATCAAATCCCATGGTAGTAGAGCTAGTAGAAATATTAGCGGTAATCAAAAAGATTATTAATCGAAAATATCATTCGAGAAGTGTATACCATAAGAATAAATTCAAAAATATAAAGGGAGACAGAAAAAAAGGTCATGAGGAATTCAGAAGATTAGAATTTCAGAGAGCACAAAGAATAGATGCATCTGCTCCATTGCAAGTAATTCTCAGCCATGTCGTTCAAGGTCTCCAGCCACCGATTACCATTCGCGAACCCCAACCAGATGGTCTACACCTACCAATATGGTTCAGTTCATTTATCAGCGACCTCATGGATTTATGTCGTGTTTTGATTTGGACGCCTCTAGCTTTCTTCCAGCCTACCCTTACACCAGGCATCATCGCTCGCCGATGATGCGTTAATTGCCTCATACCATATTCTTCTAGCAGCTTAAGTTTTTTCTTATATATGGCTTGAAAATTACAATCGTATATGTTAATTTACTCTTTTTTCACTAATAGTCATTGAAATCAGGAACGAAATATCAATTTATTGTCGCATGTAGTTATATGCATTTATGTAAATATTAGGTATAATTGATTTAATTCATTATAAATTTTACGAATTCCCGTTTTGGTTTTTGTCAAAACTTTATAGTTTTATATTGATTTGGATATTTTGGAACATTTTTAAATCAATATTAACATGATCTTGTAGTTTGCGAATCCTCTTATGTCACTGAAGATTATTTTTATCTGACTGTTGTTACCGCTCAAATTCTTTTGCTTTGTCTTAGAATCATATGATATTGCTCGATTGGTCCAGAACTAACTGTTACTCTGGTGTGATGACTGGGCTTTTTGATCATGATGACCTAGTCAAGCTACGTTAGGTGAAACATTTGTGCGGCCAAACCAAGCAGTATGGTTGGAAAGCAATAAGAATAAAAGCACAAACTTATGACTCGAAGACGAAGTCATACCACTAACTCTATGGGAGGAGATGACGTCAGTGAAGTGTTTCCGCTAAACAACAGACACTTCATTTTGCTCCGCAGACTTCCATCGCCGGTGCTAAGGCCTTAAATTATAAGCTAATTCATCTGAAGCTACCCAAGAAAGGGCCGTGTGTGGCTAGTCTCAAGTAGTTCCCCTTCGGGCCCTTAAGTAAAGATTCCAGGTAGTCAAGACCACTCCTTTTCAGTTACTTCATGTCGAAGTATTCTTCCATCACATAGGCGATTGGAATTAAAAACCAATCTTTTAACTCTAGTAGCACTCTGAATCGTGTATTAACCAAACATCTGTTCTATTTCCATTGTAATCGTAATTTGTCTTTGATTTATTCTACATGTGTCCTCGGCGTTAACGACTGAAAAGGATTAAAAAATGGGTTTTACAGAAAATGACCTTTAAAAAGCCGGACCTACAGATGCAACAGCCGTAGAAGAGAATTTTAAGAATTTATTTGATTGGCTGAATCAAACTGAAAAACACTCATTTTTATCTATTCATTTACTTATACACATAAATATTAGTACAAAGAGGTGCCATTTAATTAGTGTGTGGGTTGAAATACTGCCGCGTAGCCCAAATCCAAGCAGGTGGTTTTCTTAGAGAACCAATCTCTAAACCTTTGACGTAGAGAGCCAATCCACAATTTGCTCATATGTGTAAAACATGTCTGTACATTAACTCATTAACTTATCCTGGTTGATTTTGAGTTATAAATAATTAACTATCGCTTTTTAACTATATGTTGGTGCATACAGGAACCAACTTCTGATATATATTTATTATATGTCACCGCTAAAAATTTTAATGTCAGTATAATACAGCGAATTAATTTCGTCATATAGCCTTGTACTAATATCAGTCCTAATGAAATAAACTTTTCATCTTTAACAATCAACAATGGTTATGAGTTTCTTGTAATTGAAATTATTTTTGGAATTTAATTGGATAACCTTGTTGTGACAATTCCTTTTCTCTCCTGCTTTTCATTTTAAAGCTAATTTTGAACAATATTGTGACAGTATAGAAAAACCATCAACCTGGGGTGGACAAATTGAAGTAAGTAATATTGCTTTTTTCTCATTTTTTTTCTATTGGCTAATGTTGTCTTTATTTACCAGGTAATCTACAGTTACATTGTATGTAATTGATCTTTCTTATTGAGTAATTTCTTCATGTGAGATTGTGTTACACTTGTGCAATTCAGATCGCTTTTCGTTTATTGGCCAATTTGTTCACTAAAGTGAACTTGTGATTGTTTTTATTCCATAGAGATACATATTTTCCCTTAAAGTCTCATATATATTCTTCCAGAGAGTCTGCTATCAACTGACATATAACATTAAGTACTGTTCACTACCTCATTGTACATAACTTATTAGTTATAATTCATTCATTCTTTATGACTAGACATATTTGTTTGTCAGTTTGAATATAGACTATTGTTCTACCAAGGGGTTACTGAAAGTTAGAAATGGTGTTCGTCATAGTCTGGACCCCTGAGACACACAAGACAAGGCTTTTTGTCCTAAACCAAAGAAATATAGAAACCAAACCGTTATGACCGATTCTCAGACCACACAACTTTTTGTTTTCCATCATGAGCTCTTATAAATTCAAGAATTTCACTTGAAATATCTGTACCTTTCCCTGGACAATTTGAACAATCACTATTTACCTAAATTGACATTGTTTTCGTTATTAAGTTTTTTTTGTTAATTCATCCCTGAAAATAAAATTATAAATAGATTATGAATTTCCAAAGATGATCTCTATATGACGATTGTGTAATGGATTGTTTTGGAAAGTGTTGAGTACGTTTTCTTAGCGAAGAAAACGCGATTCGCTAGATGTTACACAATGAATTTAAAAAAGGATATATGTGCACAGATTTTATATGGTTTAACATGCTTTAAGTTATTTTTCCTCCCATAAAAGACTTAAGGCTGATCTTCAGATTGATTATTGTAGTCTATTGCATTCCCAGTGCTCGTTGAAAGTTTACCAACTGTCTTTTGTCTACATATAACCTGTATTTGAGCAGTCTACGAACATAAAAGTGGCGACCGGTCTGTTATAATTGATAAACATTGCCGATTAAAGTCTTCCAATGTATATTGTACAGATAGATATCCTGAAATTAAATACTATCTAGAAAAATACACGTAAGGAGATTAATTTTAGTATATTTGTAGCGCCTCGCATATATTTTGTACTTTTATCATTGTTGAGCTTGTATGCGCATATGTGCTTGGGCATTGCTCATCTCCTACACACCTAGTCATTTGACTAGCTTTATCGATCAACTATTTAAATAACTCGATGGCTATATCGACTATATATATTTGTATTAAATCCGATATTTGTATCAGTCATTCGATATTTTGAATAATGAAAGAACTCGTGTTTTGTAGTAACGATCGTTAGGACGGAGATATACGGAATTTAGAAGATATAGAAAGTTCGCCGTCACACATTCTCAATATATGGTTGTCAGTAAAGTCCAAGATGTACGTATCTTCTTATTTAAGACACCGGGCACCTTTCGCTTCAAACACTGGAAATTGTCAACCCTTGAAAACATTAAGAAACCATACCCACACACTACCATTCAACATTTGTCATATTTATCATTCAAAATGAACTATTCTCAACTTACTAATCAGAATAAGTTGCCACATTATATGCTTTCTTAAAAATAATCCAAGATATTATTCTTAATAATTTTTATTAAACTGTAAATAATTTTCGTTAGCTTGTAGTTAGTCAATAATGTGTTCCACTACACTTCTAAACAACCTTGTTAATTAGTTTGTGTGTATTGGTTGTTTGAATCTGCCTACTAACGTCTAAGACTGCAATTAATCAGTCTCTTTGGTACATGTGCATCGTTTGAAGATTGTCTCGATGTAGTGATTAAGTCACAAGCATTTTTAAACAGCGATAGGCGTAGGTAATCAATCCGCTCCGAACCGAAAGTGACTGGTCAAATGCAGTTCTAAACATCAATGGGAAGATTTAAAAAGCTAATATATATGAATTACACTTCACCCCAATGCACCAAGCAGTGACTATTTGGATTCAATAGCCAAGTGAATAACGCGGTGACGTTTTAATTGAACGGTATTGGTGTAACCTACGAAGAATCGCTGAAGCAAACACAGCTCAACAACAGTCAACTGCTGCACACTGTAACATCGAATTCATTCGAACAAAACTTTATTGTCAACGGTCCAAGACCACAAGGCAACAAAATGAATTGATAAAGACAAATTTTAACCAAAGTCAAATTACAAAGGTCTGGTCAACGAAGATTGATAAACACAAAAATATGGTTATTTGAGTCGTATATAAAAGAGAAAATACAAATTAGGAAGAAAAACCTAAAAACAAATAACAGTACTGTTACATAAAACACTTTAGATGGATTTTCAGAGCATTCATTCAGTTATGGTGATTGTTAAAAAGAGAATTATAAATTAACTCACTCATCAGATACTTGAGTATGAGCCATATGCTAAATGTTTGCTAATCAAAGGACGAGTGTATTGCTCAGCAGTTGAGGTGGTTGGGACATGTGCTGCGTATGCCTAACCACCGACTACCTCATCCAGCTATCTTTTGCGATATAGGGATAGGTTCGACAAAAGCTAAGGGCGGCCAAACCATAACATGACAGAAATCCATGAATTCACTGACATGTAAACTGAGTCATGTTGGTAGATGTTGACTACATGGTTGGGATCCGCGAGATGAGAGTAACCGATGGTTAGAGATGTTGAATGACAGCTCAAAACCGTTTGCAATGGCGAAGGTGCATTCCTTCTTTGTGTTCTGTCAAATCATAACCAGAATTCCTCATCTCCTTTATCTTTCTAAGTTTCTTTCACTAGATTAAGGTTCTTGAATAATATCTTCGAAACCTAATCTCTCCGACAACTGATAATACTTTTACTAGCTGAACTACTACAGGATTTGAAGTGGCAATTGCATCTCTGTGCCAATTGTGGTTTGGCAACTTGAACTGATGTTCGTACGTACGAAGTTGTATGTTGTTGTTAACTGACTGGTACGCTAACTGTAACGGCTTATGATACTACCCAGTCGCTCAAACTGAAGTAGGCGATAAGAGATTCAAACCTTGGACGATTAGTGACTGGAAGTCAAACCTAGTCATCGAAAGCACTAACTTGATTGTTTAGCCCTCCTCATCCTTAAACATCCCATCAATAATATTAATCATATTTTTTGCTGTTTATTCACATTTACATTCAACAGATCCGTGCCTTATCTACAATGCTTCAAATTCCTATTGAAATATTACAAGCTGAAGGTGTTCCATTAATTATTGGAGAGGAGTTTTCTGAACAACCACCAATCACTATTGTGTAAGTTTATTAAAGTATTGATTTTTCCTTTTCTTTGCTTTTAGCTTTTAACTTTGTCATTTTATGAATGTAATTCATTTGCTTGCTTGAAATATTTAAAGTTTTTTCCAACCATCATATCCAAAATGATTGTATTGGAAAATTTACTTCAACATTCTATCAGAAGCCAACGTTGACTTAATTGGTGTTATCACATCAAATCATTAAAATTATCCTTTTCTTTGATATTGTGAAGCCATAAAGTAACATAAAGCAGCATAATGTTGGGTAATTGATGTTTGCAAAACTAAACTCAATCACAGATTACAAGATTGAATGCATATAATACATACAGGGAGAGAATAGAAAGAAAAAATAATTCGATTAATGAGACAAAATCATTCAACAAAAATATCCAGCTGCAAATAATCAGTAATCAGTCTGAAAGTATCTATTTGTTACCACTGAGTTTTAATGTACATTTTGTTAATATTCAGACATATTTTTTATTGATTCATTATAATAACATAACAAAATTAATACCCTATAAAGTAATTCAGTTAAATAATTGATATTATTTCATAACTAGAATTATTTATTTGACTGTATGACTAGAAAAGTATTTTATTGTTAACAGACAAAATCTATGTTGTGGTTACTTTATGTTGATTTGAATAGACAATTCGGAGGATAAAAGTTATTTAGCTGAATTCATATACACTATTAAAATGTCAACTATTAATTTTGAAATTTGTTAAAATGATTTGTTCAGTTGTGGTCATCCTAGTGTATACTTCAATTTGCATCATATATATATATATATATATATATATATATATATATATATATATATATATATATATATATATATAGTGATCAACGTTTATAACTGCATTTCATCAGTTTATCCTTATCTTAAAATGGTAAATGATTTTATCATTGGAGAAGTCATGTAGTTTTAATCAATATAGAAGAGATATTTTGAGGTATTTTGAACTACATCACTTGATATTTTCAATCACTGATTGTGCTTACCGAATGGACTCCAACAACCTAGTTTTTACCTATCAATATTGATCATATTAACAGGCAATGATGTCAGATACTAATTTATATTTCCTAAGCTTCCTTCCAACCTACTTTGACGTCAAAAAATATCAGTGGTTGGGCATACATTGTATTTGTTCGAACAACCTCAATCGATGAAAATTTATAAAATCATCAATTGATTCACCGTCTTTGCGTAGTTATTACATGACTAGTATTGGTGTAGTGAATGAGAACACAGGTGGGGCAACCGACTTGTATTTAACGAAAATTACAGAGTTACTCAGTAAAATCGGAAAACCATATCGTAAATCGTTCATTTACAAAAGATCAGTTCATCCTATGGAACTGGACTGTTCCTGTTGCAAAACATCACTCCATTGTCACTATTCATGCGTTTCATACAAATTCCATTGTTTTCTAACTCTTCCTTTCTTGATCTTCCCCCCATATTATGCTACCAGACTTTACGTTGACACTCACGTCATATACTACTTATAAGTAGTTCGCACCACAGCACCACATTGGCATTTATCTTTTAGTTAGGTATTAGGTACTAGATATACATGATAAACCAGTTGATGATCAAGTTGTGACAGTCTTGTATAAATAATCAATTTTAGACTTATTAGTCTACTTATCTTACTACCTAATTTCGTCGTATTTTTTTTTCTTATTGAAAATGCTCTTTAGATATCATCGTTATGCGTTTGCACTCGGTGAACACTACAATTCCTGTTTAAAGAAACAAGATGTTCAATAATGATTCTTGATTAAAAAATAATAAATGAATCTCATGTAAATAATAGTAATCAATAAAACATGTACATTGTAACTGTGCTAAAATTTGATGTAAATTAGGATTCGTCTTTTTTAATAAAAGACTTAACATTGTAACGTACTGTCTTGAACTGTTAGCATTATTATCATCATGATTCTTTCAATAGGCTTGAAAATCTACTGTTTTCAACAATAATTATCTATGATTCTACTAAAATAGAATACAATGCTATGAATTTCACCTTCTTTGTGAAATTTCTTGTTTTTATTAAAACTTGAGAAGTATTTCATTTATTTCGGACACTTCTTGTAAACAATTTTATTATTCTGTACATTTGTGCTTCGAAAATTTACTGTGGGAATTACACAATTTATGCAACTGTATAACGATCGAATAAAACTTATTTAAAAGTTTTATGACTTTATTATTTGTGTTAACTGGTATAATTGTAGATTTAGTGCAGTGACACTTATTCTTAACCAGAATATTTGTTATGCAAGCGTACCCATATCGTGAATAACTGTCCAGTGAACATTTAATTACTTCCTACTACATTTAAGAGTCAGCGCTGGTGTACGCCGGTTAGCTAGTTGACTATGCGGAATTATCACGTGTACCTTTAACCATGTCAGCATTTCTCATCACATATTAATAAAATTCTGTCTGGCAAGGTTTTATCTGTTGTTTATATCTTACTTATGCAGGATAAGGACCTAGTCACCATGTTAGGCTGAGAAGGTCTTCAATGTACTGCTACGTTTGTCCAAGCAGCCGTATTCATTTAATTAACTGTAAAGTAGGATTGAAACTATTAGCAAAGTAGTTAATTAACTTATCCTGTTGACTGCAATATAACTTTGCCACTTAATGTAGAAGGTATAAAAGAAGGTTGATAAAGTCTAATTGCAAGATCGGGATTGATGTTTTACTATGTTTATTTATTCACATTGATTGGCGTTTGGAATCGGACTAATAGAAACTGGCACGTAAGCAACGGATTAGCTCATTATCAGTACTGTGGAAGATCAAACGAATGTCAGAATTAATCAGTATATAGCTTATCACGGAATCCTAGTTACTAATATCATAATATTACAGAGGTCACTAGCATTGGAGAATAATAACTCGTCTATTAGACTTAAACATGTCCAGGAAGGTGGCTAGGTTACGTAATTATCGATCACATACCGACCGAATATTTGATAGCACGGTCAGGATGACACTTTGTAGGCCTCTTCGACACTGTGACGTGCCTGAAAAGATGCTCAACATAATAAGGAATTCTTATGATGGACTAAAATGAAAATTAGTGCGTGGAAAACAGCTCACAGACTCGTGACAAGGTAAGGTTGCTTACTCTCAACCTTTTTCTTTCCTCTGATGATCGACTGGACTACGAAGATGTCGAAACCTCAGTCGAAGCATGGAATACAGTGGAAAACTGGACTATTTGGACGTCGTAGATGATCTATCCCCCCTAATCCACATATAACAACAAATGCAGGAGATAGCCAGTGTGGCAGCAGCCTCAAAACAACTAACTCATTCAACCGAAAGTCATAATTTTCAATAAAAATATCAAGAATGTGTAGTGAATCACTTGTACGAAGAAAAACACGACCTGTTAAATTGCAACAATCATTATTACAATCAGTTGTACCAGTAAACGTATCATCGAATATATGTTTCCTCGTAATTCTGTTTATATGTAATGACCCTGAGTTCTTTTTGCATATATATCAGCATTACACTCTGGTCAAGTGGGTTCTCCTCTTTTTCGGTCGCAATTTTGTTTTGACTACTCTGTATTGTCCTTTAATTTCTAGCATGTTTCGGTATTTCTTCGATTTCACGAAATCGCCTGCAATTTCACCGATTTCATCTGGTTTATCCCATTTTATTCCCTCCTGTAAAAGATCTGAGATAACACTCAAGACCCGAATTTAATTCTTATATGAACATGTTCATAGTTATGCCACTCGAACATCTATAGTTGGTAATTCGTTTTTGATGTGGACTAATTTGCGGTGATTCTGCTATAAATCATCGCCATTTTTGTTGCTGTATATCTATTTATATCTACTGATACATACAATGTTATCAACAAAGTTCTGAAATAGCAGACGAACAGATGCCTATCGAATTACCAGTATATTTTCTGGTCATGATAATGTATTTCATGCCTTATTAGTTTGGTACCCCCAGGTAACTAAACCTCTTGAGGATATTTCATCGGTGACTAATCATGGGGCACACTACGTCGTCACCCTCAGACCTCTAGTCACGGCAAAACCTTGCCAACTGGCACCAGACAAATTAGCTTTTGCTAAGCGTGAGTAAGGTATACCTGCTACATATATTAGTTGTCCTTCTCTCATTTCTTAGGCTCATCCTCTCCTCGTGGTTCGTAATAAAGTTAGCGTTAGTTATATACCATGCGGTGAATACAGAACACTGAACGTGGCTGCCCATTTCGAAAGCCACTCGAACTCCCACATACACGACATCATGGCATCACTAAAGGATGCGACCGTTCTTTCTAAGATCGATCTGGTACGAGTGTATCATCAAATTCCTGTCGCTCCAGAAGATGCCGAGAAAACTGCAGTCACAAATCCTTTCAGTATTTCAAGGATTTAAGAAAGCTATTTGGTTTGTGAAATGCTGATCAAAGGTCTATTGATAGCACAACACGAGGTTTCGTTCACGTCTATATTGTGAACCTGCTGATTGCATCATGAAATATAGATGAACATTATCAGCACTTGACTCTGTTATTTCGACGTCTTTCCAGTAAAGGAACGATAGTTAACCCAGGCAAATGCGAACTTGGCAAATCGAAATTGAAATTCCTTGGCCACGGCATCAAGCAAGAAATTATTCTACGTTGTGCGGACATTGTACGTGCAGTATTGGAGTACAGATCACCGTCCACACTCAGGGAACTGAAAGCACTCGCCGTTCTAGTTAATTTCTACAATCATTACATCCCGCACGCGGCATAACGAATACGACTATGTATAGTGATGATTTGGAGAAATACGAAAGCCATCATCCGAAAGATGTATATGTTCGTCCGAAGTTTTTTACACAATATACTGCAGACCCGTTCACCAGGAACCTTCAATAACAAACCGGATACCACACGAGTTAGAAACCATTAAAAAGTGCTGGACGTTGGTACGAAACACATTGTGGAAATAAGCTGACAGCATCAGGAAGCAAGCTTTCACTTGAAAATTCCAATGCCTCAGGAAAATATGTAGATCAAATGGCACATTGAGCAAAGGATTCGAAGGAGATAGGAAAAGAATGAACAAAGTTTCGGCAAAACTGAAGACTAAGGCGTAAGGCTGAGTTGGTTGGGGAATGCTGGCCGTCGGCTGATGTTTTACTAATGATAACAGCTATAGTAAGTAATAAATAACAAGCTAGTTAAATTAGATCGTTTTTTCTATCGTTCACCAACATGGCTTACGACATGGAGGAAATCCATGTTTATTAACTTTGACCAAAGATCAAAAAACATGCATTACGAAAACGTTTTTGGAAAAAATTGTTGACCTTCAAAGGATATTCTAATCAATATTTGTGGTGCTGATTCGTTATATATTATAGACCAATCTGTGGCACTATTGAAGGACAATGTCAAACAAGCCAATTAGCTGGCTAAAACGGTCGTTATTTGTCTGCTGATTTGTAATATAATTACTATTTAACTCTGGTGTCAGTTATGTTTGGTTTATCATTCATTCACGTGGCTTCTCATTGTAGAATCCATTTGAAGGCTTTGCTTTTGGGATCTTGCTGACTCTTTCTGTTCAATATTTTGGTACTCTGTATAGTCCCAAGTAGGGATGTTACTATGTGTATTTTGTTATATTTCCTATCTTCTGTACTTGAGTTTATATGTTTCCTTCTGAACTGTAAATGTGTTTTTTAAATTGATACTTAATTTGGCCACAGCAATATCGGATTTGATACCTTCGCGGTAACTTCGTATTCTTGACTGGAAGGACGTATTCTTCCAGAATTGGAAACTCACTGTGTTAATTTCGGATCGGGAGAGTATAATATTGTTTAGGTTATTGTCTGTATTCCTTTTTTGATTAATAATAGAACCGTTCTTACCCAGAAACGTATATTTTGAATTTGAACTGGGCAAGGCGCGTATATGACTCATATTGTTTCCGAAATCAAGGTGCATTGAATTGAAATTTTTCTATGTTCATTAAGTTAGATAGTTAGAATATATTATAAGATCAAGAGCAGAATAAAACCAAGAAAACTATAGCACCTCATAAATATTTAGTCTGTTTATAGGGTGGAAAGACTGTCACTGCTGTGGTATAAGAAAATGAGATCACCATAGTCTGCGTGGATCTTGTATCAAAGTAAGGAAGCAACTGGTTCGAACATTTGTCGGTGAAGTCAACTAGTGTGCCTCGGTTGAACATGGGCTTTATTAGAATGATTTGACTGATGATTATTGTAAGAATGGTTTTTAATAATTAAGGCAAGGAGAACAGAAGTGATGTGTTTGTCTTCATCTGAGTTGGCGATAACGATGACATTTTTAAATGCACGTAGAAGTACTCATTTGAGAGGACATTTTGAGAAAGTTCATTACAAAGATCAAATCGAATAGAGTACCGAATAACTAGAATTATCTTCCGGGTCACATAATTACGACCACTTCTGCTAATTAGTTCGAAGCAAGATCGGATCATCACAGCACTATAAACTGCACGGAGAAACATGGCCTACATGAACTCCCATCGTTACTACTGGGGACTGAACCATCTTTGTCACGCTTAAAACAATTAGTCCCTATTATAAATTTCGATAGAACAGTGAGAAGAAGTAACTGATCTTAAGGGTATTATGAAAATTTCAGACGCTTTCCCATTTCTTTAATAATCTGTTAATTTTACCTCTCCTTTATTTAAATTATAAAATTATGTCAATTTTAAATTTTATTTAATTGACCTTTTATTAATCTTCATAAAAATTGCCTTGACAACTAAATGTGCGACCACGTTGTTGGAAGTGTATAGAGCGAACCCATCAAATTTGTCAGAGGGCGTACAACCTAATGAGCACGCCAAACCGTCCCAACGTGAGCATCTTACCGATGCATCACCTCTACTACTCTCGCTGGGATCCTCGTAAAATCGCACTTCAAAGAGCGAATACTTAGATGCGTGCACATTTTTTCTCATTGACAGTCGTCCCAACTTGGAATGCTCTCTCAGCCGAGGTAACCTCAGCCTCCTCAGTGGACAGCTTTAAGAAGAGACTTGATAATCGCTTACTCAAAAGTGAATTATCATCTCCCACTTGAACCATCTGAGCATGATGCATATCTTGTGACCTGCTATTTGTTATCATTGCTATATCCTCAGATCAC